AAATATATATCTCTTGGACCACAACATTTATAAAACAATTTAAGGTGCTATACTTGTTATTTCCGAATACTTTTTTGGGACCGTTTTATAAGCCCTCTATTATTTTTGCTCTATTAATGTTTCATAGATATTTATAAATGTGTTTCATTAGTTTTATTGGTACAGTAATAGAGCATTTAAGAGAAAATCTATAAATCAATTTTGCTCTATATTATGGTGCCCATTTCGCTCTTATAGAATACCTATAACGGCTGTAAGTACCTTCCGGCAGGCAATTTATACAACTTTTATTCTTATAATATTTGATGTATAAATATTCTCACAGCTTTTATAAAACTATGAAATGCTACTTGGCTATCTTTTCTTCGTCTTCCCTTCTTCAAGTCTCTTATTTTTTTTTGTAAATCTTTTTGGTTTTGGAGTCCGTCTTGTTCCAGCTGTCGGTTGCCTTCGTGCTCTTGCAATATTTTTTGATGCCGGTCCTCTTTTTCTTGTTTTTCTTTTCGTCATTTTCCTCGTTCTTCTCCCTCTTCCCTTTTTTCAATATTTAAGTTCACAGATTATTATCATCGAATAACCCAAAACCAATTGATCAAGAATATGAAAAAGGAACAAGTTTTTGGTCGAAGAAACCAGAGAAGAATTTTATCATTCTAGATCGCAAAATTTGTATTATTTAATATTACAATAGGCATTTTGGTTGGGCAGAGCATCTTTTTTCCTGGCACGTATAATTCTGTACAATTTCCCAAAGTAGCTCAACAGCTAAAATAATTTTGGAGATTTGCATGTTTCAAATATTATATTGAAACTGTATTTAGGGTAATCTTTGTTCAAGGAGCGCTGTTTATATTCAACCAATAATTCCACGATGATGTAGGCTCTTTAATTTTTGTGCCAATAATTTTTTTTTTTTTTTTTCACTAGTTCCTCAAGAAAAAACAAAATAAACTGTGACATAAAATCAAAAGGAATGCACAGTAGTTTGTTGCAAAAGTAAATCAGCTGTAAGCACTATCTGGTTTACTGGGTTATACGGCTCGGAATATAAATACCCATAAATGAAAGTACATATTAAGTGCAACCTTAAAAATAAGCGTTATGTAACATTGCAGATTTTTCTTCTATTTTGTTTCGGTTTAAGTAGCAAGTGTCGTTTTAATTTACTCAATGACTATGCAATAATATTACTTTATGTTTATGAATTCTGTATTTTGACTATTTTTTTTTTGTCACAATTAATTAGTTCTGGAGAAGCCTTAAAAAGAGTAGCTATAGTTGAATCATTTCAATCTAACCTAATGATTTTACTATGAAAATATTTTTCAGGATGGAGAATTATGAATTGATTGGATAAATCTTATTCAGGACTAAAGCACCTACATATCATAACATCGCATAAAATGTATATTACAAAAAAGCTGACTCACGTTTGAGAACAATTTAAAATAGTCATATTATGCAGTAGGCATCTATTAATATTTTGTCAAATGTTGAACGAACTAAAAACCAGTTGTTTAAGTAAGTTCTCACCATCAATCAACAAGTATATTATATTTCCGTTTTTAAGAGAAAATGAAACCTTTGATTGGGCTGGAAATAATAACTATTTATCAGTTAATTTATTATTAAATCAGGAACTATGCTAAGAATTAACCCTGAATCGGTATCGGAAAGGTTATTACCACATTCTTGTTCGTTCACCTTAAAAGGTCTGCAAAAGTTCGTTTTCTTTTTCTTTCCCTAAATTAATCAGATTCAGATTGATCAACAAGTTACAGGTATAAGAATTGGGACTAAAGCAAATGGCTTTTAGTGCTATCAATTGACATATTCAACTAATCAAAGGACCCTGCCCAAAGTATACGGAAATTGTGTTTATGTCAGAATTGGCTGAATTTTGTATATAATGTAGATCACACCTTTCTGATTAAAAGTTACCATTGCGCCAATCCTGAAAAATGACTCCTTTTTGAAAAAAATAATTTCATATGTGGCAAGTAGACCGCTTGGACATTATAATGAACGCTCAATGTAGCGTTAAAAGGTAAACTTGTGGCGCGTAATTTTCTCAAAAAGGAGTCATTTTTCGGCATCGGTGCAATGGTAACTTTTAATCAGAAAAGCGTGATCTACATTATATACAAAATTCAGCCGATTCTGACATAATCACGATTTCCGTATACTTTGGGCAGGGTCCTTTGATATGTTTATAGGAGAGGTCATGAAACCTTTAATATTAAAGGTGCAGATGAGTGGAGGAACGTTTCGACTTAATTAAATAAATAAGCTTTGCACGAACCACTGAATTCGGTATTAACTTACCCAACCAAAGAAATTTAATTGAAATTTTAATATTTCAGTTCGACTACTAACCATGCAACTTCATATGGGTTGCTGCATAAAAAATTGCACATTATTCGATGGATATTGCAAGTTGCGACGAAATTGATTAACATTCGTTTTCAAAGAAAATATTCACTCAAGCTTTTTTTTATAGATTACCGGATTTTAATTTTTCAATTTTATGAGGTATGTTTCTTTTACAAAATCGTATCCAGCCTTTTAATTGCCATTACGTCTTAGACTTTTTCTTGTTCTCCCAATGCTCAACAACCAAATACAATATCTGTTTGTGGCACACATAATATTATGTCCCAATCATATTTTGAGGACCCCGAAATTCTGTAAGGACTCGTCGCGAAGGGGTTAAAAATTTCTACAAAACTGTGAATTTATGCAAGAAATAAAAACAAAATGAGAAATCGCTGGACAATAGAGAATCCACCCTCGGGGTAGTCATCGACATCAAAGGGGCCTTTGACTAAACCACCTTTCAAAAAATTAGCCAGTCACTAACAGAAAAGAATACTCCGGATGAATATTACATATGCTTTCCAAAATGATCGTACATATAAGTGTGCAGAACGTCAACATTAAAGGAATGGTCACAAGAGGCTCCCCGCAGGGAGGCGTGCTATCACCTCCTCTGTGGAACATGGTTCTGGACAGCCCCATTGTCCCGTAAACAATGACAACCACTACACAATAGCTCACGTAGATGACGTAGTCATCTTGCAAATAGATAAATTCGAGAACTCGCTCTGCGAACGCATGCTAGATGCTCTTCGAATTATAGGAAGATGGTGCACGAAAGACTCTGTCCATCGAGCCCAAAAACTGAAATGGTCCTATTCACAAGAAAGATGAAAACGGTACTTCCGCCAGCACCCAGAATCTTGAATACCGAACTAAGCTTTGCTGCCGACGTCAAATATCTGGGAGTGACACTCGATTATAAACTAACTAAGAGAATACAGAAAGCATATATCGCCCATGAACAGTGTAGACATATCATCGGTAAGACCTGGGGATTCTCCCCCAAGATAGTTATTTGGATCTATACAGCCATCATCAGGCCTATGCTTACAAATGGGGCTATTGTCTGGGGTTATAAAGCCGAGCAGACCAATATTAGCCGAAAACTAGATCACGTTCAAATAATGACATGCCTCAACATTACTGGTGCAATGAAAACCGCACCAACTAGGGCTTTGGAAGTAATTCTATGTTTGACGCCCCTGGACATTTATGTCAAGGAGGTCCCTTTCACCACAATGATGCCCTTCCGCACTGTTGGTATAGTGTCAAGTGCAAAAGTCAGTTTGCATAGAGCCCGCATATGGCGGGAGGCAACGAACTCGCTTTCACTGTTGGAAGCCAGAGTCGACTCTGAAACGCCAAATTTCGTCTTCAAAAAGCACTACGCAATCAACACGAAAGGCATTGGTAACAACATAGTAGCAGGGGTAAGTAACATCTACTGGCGGATCGAAAACTGAAACAGGCTCGGGATGCAGAGTATACTCCAAAGCCCTCAAACTGATCCTTACTAAAGCCCTCGGTTCCATGCCAAATGTCCTCCTGTAGTGATACCTCGACAGGTATATTCCTGATTGTCAAGTTGAGTTGTCAATAATATAAATATTGTCAAGTCGAGTTTTATTATAATAACAATTACAGTTCGAGTAAAATTTGGGAATTATTGCATTTTAATAGAAAGTATATAAAATTAGATAAGAAGTTTTCTAGGTTTTTAGGCCTACAGTTAATCAGGTGTTGGGTCTGAAGCCATACTAAAGCGGATGACGACGGATTTTGGTCCGAACCCATAGGAAAGCGGATGACGAAGGATTTTTATAACGGTGAAATATAAAGATGGATAGAAATCAAGCAAACCAGACAATGGGTGCCGAAGATTTTGAAAGTTGTGCTTCTGGATTTGCAAATCAAGCTACAGGCACTAGCAGAGGCAATAATGCTTCCAATATGACTGACTTTATGGCTTCAATTAACCAGGTTATGAATCAAAACGCAATGGCTTTACAGGCTCTTATAAATAATCAGCAGAATCAAATTCCTCAGCGTAATTATTCAGTCATACCCGATTTTTCAAAGACTATTTCGGATAATGCTGGTGAAGATTTGGACAAAAGCAAATCTTGGTTCAAACCCTCGAGAGTGCAGCTACACTCCACCAGTGGCCAGATGAGTTTATTTTAGAGACGGCTAGATCGAAGCTTACTGGTGCGGCTCTACATTGGTATGAAGCTCGAAGAAGTAGAACAACATCATAGCTACATTTCAATCAAGAATTTCAGGATACTTCTATCCCACGTAAGAATGTAACTTCTTTATGGAAGGCAATGACAGTGCGATGCCAAAAGCCAGGTGAGGATCTAAGTTTTTATTATCATGAAAAGATTAGATTATGTCAGGATCTTGGTTTAAGCTTCGATGAACAAAAAGAACAAATTATAATTGGCCTGTCTTCACGTGAACTTTCAGGCATGCTACTGACCAAAGAGCACATTAATGTAAATGATCTCTATCATGACATGATTAATTATGATCGATAATTAATGAAAGACGTACTAGACACACAGCGCGAAGTGTTATTAGGCGAAAACATCTACCCAGAAATACTATGCCTGTGGTAAATGCCTCGTCCATATCTGGTGCTAGTAGACCTGTTCAACTGGAGCCAAAGAAAGCTAGATGTCCCAGTTGCTATGAGGAAGGACACCTTAACTGCAAATTGTCCTAAACCTAAACGAGAAAAAGGAGCCTGCTTCAATTGCGGTTCGAAACAACATTTGAGAAATCTCTGCCCTCAAAGGACTTCAGCGACGCCTGCTAGTACTACTATGGTTATAAGGATCATCTACAAAAGATGGGACTCATGAACTACCACTGGAAATTATGTATCAAAATAATGAGGTTAAAGGTATCATAACTTTGAAAGCCATGTTAGATACTGGTAGCCCTATAAGTTTCATGAAATCCAAATATGTGCCATTCTATTTGCTTAAAGAAAATAATGACAGTAGTTTCTATTTTGGCATAAATAATTCTAAGTTAGAAGTTCCAGGTGTTTTAAATGAAACAGTAGTTATTAACAACTTGGTTGTCTCAATAAGATTTTTTGCAGTAAAAGATGAAACCATGACTGTGCCTTCAATTATGGGAAGAGATTTTACCATGTTAGAGAATATTGAGATCACTCTGGGTGAAATCGTCACTATCAAGAAGGTTCAGAGTCAGAGTAAGTTCAATAACGTTGTCAATAATGACTTATTATTTAATAATTATGATTTTGATAAAACGAACTTTTCTTTAAATATTAATGCCCAAGTTGACCCAATGGTAGTTAAAAAGGTTAATGATTTATTTGTTGAAGAATATTTAGAGCCCGAACGTTCTGAAACCCGTGAAGTTGATTTAAAGATGAAAATTAGCTTAGTTCATGAACAACAATTGGCTTTTAGGGCTCGTAAGTTATCTTACTCAGAAAAAAATTAATTGAGGAAAATTTTAGAAGAATTTTTGAATGATGGAATAATTAGAGAGAGTTTATAGTCCTTATTGCAGTCCGATTGTTTTAAGAGAGAAAAAATAAATAAAAGGTTATGCGTAGATTTTAGGTAGTTGAATAAGGTGACAATTAAGGATCATTATCCTATTCCTCTAATAGATGATCATTTAGACCTTCTGAAAGATAAGAACTATTTTACTAGCTTAGACTTGAAACATGGGTTTTATCATGTAAAGATGGGAGAAGCCATAAAGTACACTTCATTTATTACTCCTGTGAGACAATTTGAATATTTATTTATGCCTATGGGTTTATGCAATACGCCCTCTGTGTTCATGAGATTTATTGACCACGTCTTCAAGGATTTGATAAAAGAAAATAAAGTCTTGATCTATCTAGATGATATTCTTATTGCAACAGAGTCAATTTCTGAACATACGGATATTTTAAAAAATGTGTTAAAAATTGCTGTCACTAACCTATTAAATTTTAGAATTGACAAATGTTCATTTTTGCAGAATCAAATCCTAAATTTAGTATTTGATTGATGTCAATGGCATTAAGCCAAATCCCAATAATGTTTTAGCTGTTGAGAATTATCCAGTTCCTGATGACCAAAAGAAAGTTCCAAGATTTTTAGGCTTAGCTTCATACTTTAGGCGCTTTATTCAAGGATTTTCTGTCATAGAAAAGCCACTATATGATTTAATTAGGAAATAATCCAAGTTTGAATTTAAAGAATTACAATTACTTTGAAAACCAAATTAATTGAAGCCCCAATCTCGGCTATCCATTCTCCTGAATTAGACACAGAACTACATTGCGATACTTGCGCTCAAGGATTTGGAGCAATACTTCTACAAAAGCAAAATAATGATTTGTTTCGACCAGTTTCATATTTCAGTAAAAGAACTAATTCTGCGGAAGCTAAATTTCTTAGTTATGAACTAGAGATGCTCGCTATTGTGTATGCTTTAGAAAGATTTAGGGTTTATGTGCATGAAATAAAAATTAAAATTGTAACTGACTGTAATTCGATCAAGCAAGCTCTCAATGAGAAGGAAATAAATCATAAAATTAATAAGTGGGCCTTGGTTTTACAGAATTAGGATTATCGTTTAGAGCATAGGGATAATAACCGAATGAAATATGTAGACGCTTCAAGTCGAGCCAATAATATAATCATTTTAGAGGAAGGAGAACACGTTTGAACAGAATTTGGCTTTAGCTCAAAATTTAGACCCAGAAATTATTAAAATTTAATCTATTTTGATCGATAGAGAAGACAAAAAATTTGAAATGCGGAACGGATAGGTTTATAGAAAAAAAAAATGATTCTTCGTTTTATGTCCCTGAAGCTATGGAAGGCAAAGTCATAAAATTGTCATGATAATTTAGGGCACGTAGGAATTGATAAGACCATAGAATATCTCCTCAGAGTGTACTGGTTTCCAAAGATACACGATAAAATTAAAACTTACATTCAAAACTGCATGAAATGTTTAAAATATTCAAAAAAATCTGGTTCACAAGAGGATACCTTGCATTCTATTCCTAAAGGAGATAAACCTTTCGTAAAGATTCACATTGATCATTACGGTCCTCTTGAGAAAACTCCAAGAATTAAAATATTTATTTTTGAAGTAATTGACAGCTTCACTAATTTTGTGAAATTCTATCCTGTTAAATCTGTAAATACTTCTGAAGTTATTTCTTAACTAGAGGAATACTTTAAAATAATTATAGTAAGCCAGTTCGTATTGTGTCAGATCGAGGTACAGCTTTTTTCTCTTACGAGTTTGAAAATTTTATTAATTCTTACGAATTAGTTCACATAAAAATAGCATCAGCTTCTGCTGATCTAATGGTCAAATTGAGAGGGGTAAATGGAGATTTGACCCCAATGCTTTCGAAGCTAACTTTACTGACTAATGAGTGGGATAAGGATAAACACTTGGGGGATGTAGAATTCTCAATAAATAACTCTATTTGTAGATCAACAGGTAAAAGTCCTGCTGTTTTATTATTTGGGGTAAATCAGAGAGATAGAAATGATAGTCTTAGACATTATTTAGAGCTTGAAAAGTCTGAAAATGAAGTAATAGATCTTCATGTAGTGAGAAGTGAAGCTTGTAGAAAAAATGCTAAAGTACAGGAATATAACAAGAAATATTTTGACTCTAGACATAAAACTTCTAAGGGCTACAATTTGGGTAACTTTGTGATGATAAAAAATGTGGACGTAAGCCCAGGGATGAACAAAAAATTAATTCCCTAATTTAGAGGGGCCTTATGAGGTTGCAAAAGTACTGAATCATGATAGATACCTACGTAGTTAGGGATATTGAAGGGTTTCAGATAACACAAATCCCTTATGAAGTTATTCATGGTCCAGATAATTTGAAGTTATGATTACCCACTTGTTCTTATATGTATAACTTGTATTTTCATTATTTTAATAGATATTTATTTTAGAAAAGTATATTATTTTGTTGTATTTCTTGAGTTTAAAATTTTATTTCATGTCTTGGTACTAATACACCCATATTTTATCATGATTTTATTGTTTTGTCTTACATGATAGTTTATATTGTCTTCGACATATTATTATAATAACTTATGAATAATTATAACTTATAAAATATGCAATAGCTTATGAATTATGAATCTTTCACCCTCTAATTATTTATTAGGTACATGGTTTTTATGAGATATTTATGAATTATGTCTATGTCTACTTTACAAATAGCATAGAAATCCATTCTATTATTCTGTCTTCATCAATGAGTCTGTATTGACTAATTTTATGTTGTGTTGTGTTAGGTTTATTGATTAGATACTTGCATTACGTATGTTACCTATGTCAAGACTTTTAGTCGAGGACGACTTAATTGTCAGGTTGGCTGAAACTGTAGTGATTCCAGTGATACCTCGAAAGGTATATTCATGATTGTCAAGTTTAGTTGTCATTAATATGAATATTATCAAGTCGAGTGCCATTATAATAATTAAAGTTCGAGTAAAAGTTGAGAATTATTGCATTTTAATAGAAAGTATATGAAGGGATAAGAAGTTTCCTAGGTTTTTAGGCCTACACTCCAACTAGCAAAATTACTGGTATAACCATAGTCAGAAACAATATCACTGACAAGATCGAGCTCATCCACACGGACTACATACAAGCAGTACTAGCTCTATCTAGACCACGACTCACGTCAGAAATAGTACAACATTGCCACCGTGCTCTAACAGAGACGTCAATAACAAACCCAGTGGTAATTAGCTGGATCAAAGGACATCACTACAGCAAAGGCAATCGGGCTGCCGATGCTCTGGCTAGGAGGACTGCCAGGCTATAGCCTTCTGGACCGGAGCCCTCCGTGAGGCTGACTATGTCGGCGGCCAAAAATCTGATGAGAGAACGCTCTCAGACTTTTCACAAAGCGCTGGGATGATACGATTTGCTGCAACTTATCGAAGGAACTGCTAAGCTACCCAGATAAAGCTGCAGCGAGCCAGAAACTATTGTTGACTAGGAAAAGGCTACGCCTAATAACGGGCATCTTGACTGCCAGTTAAACAAACATTTATTCAGGTTGCATCCTAGCACCACACCCTTGTGTAGGGCTTGTAATCAAGAAGAAGAGACGATGGAGCATATTCTTCGTGACTGCACAGCTCTTTCGCCAATACGCGGAGCCAGATTGGGCCAATCGTACCCATCCCTATAGGAGAGATCAGAGGTACCGCTCTCGGCGACGTCATAGCCTACGTTAAATCGCTATGATGGCTGGATATGAAAGAACTATATGGATGACCTCTCCTCTTGGCGCACAATGGGCCTACTGTGGCCTAAGTGCTGTGGCATACTACCCTCCCAAACTTACGGATACAGATAAAAGCAAAATGTATAAAGTCTCTGACTTATAAATGCACGAAATCCTTAGTGTGCAAGTTAAACTCACACTTACCTGCATTAGGTTATATTCAAAATAGGTTTATTTATTGTTGGTTGGGCAACAAAGATCTAATAAATTATCACTTATACCGACCTACCTCAACAAAGCAGCTGTACGGCGCGAATTTTGTAATGTTTGTTTTAAAAAATCCAATTAGACGTGGCATAATTACCGTGTTAGGATGTCGTAACGTGCTCAACAATGTTGAACAAATGACGGTAAAAATTTCCCAAGCAGAAAGCTTCTTTCTCGATATATTTGGTAATTTGAGCGTGGCATTATAAGTACGAAGAGAGTAGGTATATTTATAAAGTTCTTGCTTCATTTTCTTTATTTTGCAAAGACACACTTAACAATGATCCTTAAGCTCATTACTCATTGGAGTGACCTATGCGGTACCTCGTAAAAATCC